CAGAACCCCCCCCCCCAAGTAGTTACAGCCTCCCTGATTCTCACTGAGATGTAAATGGACTGAGCTGCCCTTTTTCCAGACCCTCCTGACTCACCCTCTTGAGGTGTGTCTGGGAGTGAGTCCATTTCTCACCTTGGAATTATTCCCTGCTCCCTCAGCATCTGGGCTGAATGCCAAACCTGCAGATGCAGACCTGTAGCCTGAAGCAGATTCTTTCTGTCACCTCTTGGAGGATCATCGACTTTCAATCTTTTCCAGAGCGTGCCTCCTACACTCTCCTCTCCCTGTAGAGATGGACTCCAAGTCATTCATTCGTCGGGTGTTGAGTTCATCTTCCTGTTCCATCTGTGGCTGCCCTGGCCTGGCTGGGTGAGGGGACCTCTGCCTAGACTTCTAGCCATCTTGGCCAGCTCTGTACTGAGCCACTTTCTCTGCCTTGGGGTGAAGCTTTCTCCCCAGCACTCCAGTTCTAAACCCTCATTCACCCAAAACCTCTCTCTCTCTCTCTCTCTCTCTCTCTCTCTCTCTCTCTCTCCCTCTCCCTCTCCCTCTCTCTCTCTCCTTACTTTTCATTCTAACCTCCCTGCCCAAATGTTCCCTAGGCTAATGGACACGTACACATGAACCTTTTAGTGAATAATGATAAATCATCTTCCAGCAAATTTAATACCAATTATCACTCTTTCCAACCGTGTAAACATGTTTATTGCCTTACATCCTTGATAGCACTCATCATTTCTATTTTTAGTCAATACTTTTGAGTTGCTAGGTATACCATGTGTCACCTGAGCTGCTTTCTTCTAGTATTTACGCCTGTTATTTCTTTTTCTTGTCTGTTCATATCGGCCAACACACCCAGAGCCATGTTAAAGGACTCTGGTGATGGTAGGCACCTGGAGGTTTAATTATTGTATTCATAACATTTAGGCTTGAAATGTCTTCTTGGTCAACTGATCCTTTATCACTATGGAATAGCCCCCCTTATCCCTGGAAATATTTCTTGCGGGTTTCCCTCCCCCAATTTCTTTAATAGATACATGACCATTCAGGTTATCTATTTCTTCTTGAATAGCTTTGATAATTCTTGTTTTGCAGACCTGACAAAAAAAAAAAAAGGTATAATTTTGATTCATTCACACTGGACGGCTATCGTTGTGTTGGCTGCTGTGATTTTTTTAAATTTGACAATCTAAGGGAAAAGTGGTCAGTGCCCCTGACTAAATAGTCAGGTATTGCATGTTGTAAAAATTCCTGTGGCACACCGGTGTGCTGTGGCACACTGGTTGAAAATCGCTGTTCTAGAAGAGTTAAAGATATCTGTTCTTTAAATGTTTGGTAGAACTCTCCTGCAGAACTACCGGATGTTTTTTGAGGGAGCAAGTCTTTGACAACTCTATTGAAATTGGCCTGTTACTATTTCTGTCTCTTCTGGGGTCCTTTTGCTATTTTGTGTCAGAATAATAAGCTGGGTCCCTGGACCAGCCAAGTCAAGGTCTGTGAGTGCAGCGGCAGCATCAAGGTCACAACCCCCCAGGAACCCTACAGTGTGTATTTTTCATGTCTGCCTTCTATCGTGCAGTATAACACACCTGTCATTCGACCACGTTGTAACATGGTGGAAATAATATTTAAATAGTAGTTTGTTTTTTCCCCCCCACTGATGAGTGAATATACATACCAGTGTACAGATATACTACAATTTATTTATCCATTCACTTGTTGATGGACATCTGAATTGTTTTCTGGTTTTGGCTATCCTATATAATAAAAGGCTAATATGCAAATTGTCCCCTCAGGAGTTCAATTGACTGGGAGTTTGACCGCTTGCTGTGATGTACGCTGACCACCAGGGGGCAGCGTCAAACAAAGGAAAGCCCCGGCCGGCAGCTGGAAGGCCCCAATCGGCTCTGATCCCTGGCCAGGCCTAGGGACCCTACCCGTGCACAAATTGCATGCACCAGGCTTCTAGTTATGAATAAAGATGCATTGATATTCTTGTATAGGTATTGTGGACAGATGGTTTTATTTCTCTGGGATAACTACCTAGGAGTGGAATTGCTGAATCATAGGGTGGATGTATGGTGATACCTGCTCATGGTTTTAATGTGCATTTTCCTAATGACAAATTATATTGGGGAAGCATTTTCTCACATGCTTATTGGCTATGTATACATCATCTTTTGTGAGGTGTTTTCACATCTTTTGCCCATTATGTTGGTTATTATTATTATTGAGTTACAGAAGTTCTTTATCGAGTTACAAAGTCCTTTGTCAGGTATATCTGTTATGAATATTTCCTCTCAGTCTTTGGCTCACTTATTTATTTTCATGATAGTATTTTTTGATAAACAAAAGTTTAAAATTTTGATGAAGTTCATTTATCAACTTCTTTAGGGTCTATGCTTTTTATGTCCTTTCTAAGAAATCTCTGACTACTGAAAAATTGAGAAAATAATCATCTATGTTTTTCTGGAAGGTTTATCAATTTAGTTTACGTTTAGTCCTTCTTAAATTGAATTTTGTATATGGTATGAAGCAGGGCTCCCACCCCCAACACCAAACACACCTGCATGTCTAGCTGTCCCAGCATCCTTTGCTGGTGCCCTTGTCAACACCCACTTGACCCTCTATCAGATGGCTCTTGATATCTAACACTAAGCACCACAGGTAAACTGTCTCCTAGCGTCTTTCTTTACTCAAAGTGAAGTCCTAAGACAGGGAGCAGCACATCCCCTGGGAGCTTGTTAGAAATCCAGGCTCCGGCAGGGCTCCGGCCCTACACAACCCCTAGGCGCCTTCCATCCGGGAAACCCTGGTGTAGATGTTTGAGGGAGGAGGGAAAATGCCTCCATGACCCACCTGCTCTGCCACTGACAACACTGACCACCGTCCCGTGCACTGCAGGCTCCTGGTGGGTGGGGGTGGGGGTGGGGAATGTGGACCCATTCCCTCTCCTTCTCTGTCTTTGCTGCTGGGGGAGAGGGGAGGGTACTCACCCACTCCTTACCCTCTAATACCCCCAACCACCTGCTCACTCACCGGGCAGCTCCTGCCCTCTCCTCCGTGCACAGCCGTCCACCCTGAGCCTCAGTTTCCTCAGTTACAGAGCAGAGATAACAATGTTCTCTGCCTCAGGGTCAGTGTGCCGGAAGGGGATCTGAGGAGAGCGGGGGGGGGG